CTTTCACACCACTGGGTCTAGTGGATATTCAGCTCGGAACGATCTCTGCGAACAATTTTGGCAACTGGTACAGTGGATGAGGATTTGAAATTTTCGGCAGGATTTAAATCCTCTACTGGTCCACCGATATTTGTAAGGATCTAGGTCCTAGATTCTAGGACTGCGCTCTCTCCCCCCTCATTTTGAAATGTTTTCCTTCTCAGCCCATCAGAGATGTGTTTCCCTGACCGAATATCCGTAAGGAACCCACTTATAATGAGACCACCAACCCACCTTTCCTTTGCAATGTATTTCGCTTGATTTGTTCATCACCCTAAATCATACAGATACTCGTTTGTACCACGGTCCTAGTGAAGTGGCCTGAAGTAGACAATCCGAAAAAGCTCCATCACCGAGGCCGCGAGTTTTTCACCATGGGGTCAACTGAATTAAACAAATCTGCCAAACCTCCTAAATAAATAAGTCAGCCTAGTAGTCATCCTGGTGGATTCTAGATGATTGCTTAGTAAATCCTGCCTGGGCAGTCAGCTTGCTCTATATGTAATGGTGGATTCCGTACGAGTAGTAAGTTGGGCGGGTAAAATCGATCCAAGTGGGACTAAATTCACGGCTCACGCTGAGCCCCGTAGCTCAGTGATAGAGCGTTGGCTGTGCAAAAGCCTTCCCTTTTGTGTGGGTTCGACTCCCACCGAGGCTGTGAGTTTTACACAATTAGGTCAACAGGATCCAAGGAGAGACATCGACGTCTGATGTGCAGGGCTGAGAGTGTGGTGGCGAAGGCTGAAACTGATCACTTGTAGGAGCAAGCCGGAAACTAGGAAGCGACCGTCGGCAAGCACTGATCTGAACGCCAATATTGACGAGGGAACGCCTGTAACCTGTGCTGTGCGAGCTGTGTCGAACTTCCCTTGCCGCAGTTACATCCTATTTAGTGGGTTTCCTCGGAATGGTTTAAACGAAGGTTAAGTAGCACTTGAAAGGGTGTTGGAATAGAATATCACACGAGACCAATAGACGTGGACTGTAAGTTAGCGGTAACGAACGGTTATCTGTCCAGGCTGGGCTAATCGCTGGTGTACTTAAATACTAGCCAAAACCAAGAGCAGATTTTTAACCTGTGTCTTCTGCCAGTCCAACACGGAGGACGAGTCAGAGGGCTAAGACAGGAACTTTCTGACGTCCCTAATCTGCAAACTTTTCTCCTTCGATCCGCCGTCTCACTTGTCTTCATGACCACCAGCCAGATGCCAGGAACGCCCTGCTATAGAAAGACGCTTTAAGAATTTGGATTTGGTGCGCATTTCATTAATCCGTTCGAAAAAGTTTGATTAGCTCCCAGTTGCCAAGTCGCTCGTCTTCGGCAACCCGGTAACAGTACCGACCATCTCACATGGCTGATTGTATCGAGTTGACTGAAAAAGACCCGGCGCAAATATAATCTAATTACAAAAAAGTCAAAGCGTCAAGGCAGTATGTGTATATAATAATCTAGACAGTTTATGGGCACCACAGACTTGTCTGAACGATTTAGCCCCGGCCACTGATTAACAGTCACAATGACATCTTACAAAACCTTCTCTAAATTACCCGCCAACTCACGGTAAAATCAAGTTCTGCTTGACTGTTGCCTCTGCCGAAATTTTTGTGAACCTCGTGTAGTTTCTGTGGGTTCCTAGTAAGGCTGATGAGTTTTTGATAAGTGACATCAAAATTGTTTATTTCCTGATTTCTTTTTTTTCCTTTGTCCTCTCCAGAACTTCTATGGCTGTTTCTTCGTACGCTCGGTGGATCTTCTATCTCTGCCCAATGTCAACCCAGACGCAGGTTACGCCATGCAGCTGGAGATGACAGAGAGTTTAGAAGAATTTCAGTTTGTTGTTCTGCAGGTGAGTATTGATTTGTTCTTGTCATTCACGACACTATTCCCTGCCAAACGTTATCCACCGTCACCATTACCCGGTTGGTTGGTTGGTAGCCCATTTTTGATCAGGGGTTCCCACCGGAGTCCAAACTGGGTGCAGTTGGGAGACGAAGGAAGGCCGCGACCTCGGCCGGCTTGAGCCAGAGGTCCTCGGGGGTGAGTTGGGAGCCTGGCCGGGAGCTACAGGCGAGAGGTGACGGCAGTCAAGCGGCGAGACGCCGCATTCGGGACAGCAGTCGGGGATAGACGGGGCCAGCCG